ACACACACACACACACACACACACACACACACACACACACACACACACACACTCTTAATCACAGAATGAGAAAGATCCTGAGATGCCATCTCATTCAAAACTTTCCTTCTTCAGGTGAAGAAATGTAAACACAGAAAATTAGAGACTTTTCCAAACCAGACATATCTGATGGTAGAACCAAATTTCAAAACAAGGTCTTGTACTCCTGATTTCTTTTTTTAAATCCTCTGTTTTCATTATTTTTTCTTTACTTTTTGAGACAGGGTCTCACTCTGTCACCTAGGCTGGGGTGCAGTGGTGCAATCATAGCTCACTGCAGCCTCAACCTTCCAGGTTTAAGTAATTCTCCAACCTCAGCCTCTTGAGTAGCTGGGACTTCAGGGGCAAGCCACCACACCTGAGTAATTTATGAATTTTTTTTGTTTTGTTTTGTTTATTTTTGTTTGTAGAGACAAGGTTTCACCATCTTGCCCAGGCTGGTCACGAACTCCTGAGCTCAAGCAATCCTCCTGCCTCCACCTTCCACAGTGCTGGGATTACGGGTGTCAGCTACAGCACCTGGACCCTACTGTTCTTTATCAGTAGTATTTACCACTATTTGTATGTGTTATAAAACATCTATCAAATATCTCCAAATTTACACATACAGTTTTTTTACAATGTGTTTTAGATTTTTGTTTCTGTGTGTTTTTAATTCATGCTTTCTATTATATGTTTTTTTTTTTTTTTTTTGAGACAGAGTTTTGCTCTTGTTGCCCAGGCTGAAGTGCAATGGTGTGATCTTGGCTCACTGCAACCTCTGTCTCCCAGGTTCAAGTAATTCTCCTGCCTCAGCACTCTGAGTAGCTGGGATTATGGGTGCCCACCACCAGACCTGGCTAATTTTTTGTAGTTTTAGTAGAGATGGGGTTTCACCATGTTGGCCAGGGGGGTCTCCAACTCCTGACCTCAGGTGATCTGCCTGCCTCGGCCTCCCAAAGTGCTGGGATTACAGGCATGAGCCATTGCGCATGGCCCATGTTTTCACATTTAGTCAAAGACGCAGAAATTTAATGAAAGTAAGTGGGTACACAAAGCAAGTCAAGAGATATGCTTCGCCTTGGCTTTTCCATGCCTCCTGAGTCCCTCACCACTGGAGGAGATGTACAGTGGCAGGTGACTGCACAGGTGGGATACCATCAGAGTGGAGAAAATGGATGACTCCTTTGCTTCTTTATTGGGGGCTGTAAAGAGGAGGAGTGTCTATTATATATTTGAATGTCTGCCTTTCTAGCTTTCCCATGTTCCGGCAAATGGTTACAGGATCGTCAACCTGCTGACCCTTTCATTCAAGTGGTCCCCAAACTAAGTTTGTCCCTAGGTGCTCTTAAACGACTTTATTTCCAGTTTTCTCATGCGTCAGAAAGTAGTCCCCCTATTGGCCACCCCTTGACTCTGGTTTAATACCTATTTATTTACATGGTTCCAACATCAAATTTTGTCGAAGGACTGCAATAATAACTCTAAGTTCCTCAACTTACTATAAGCAGAGAGTATTGTAAAAGGCAGGGGGACAAATTTGTAAATTATTCACCATATGTGCTTATTGCTATTAGTCTTTAAGATGTAAAAAGAAAAAAATATTTTCCATGATCTTTTAGTATCTGTACTATGTGGCAAATTTAGATGCTTTTTATATATTTTCCCAATTTCCAACAAGTGATATGTGTGTATGTATTTACATGTAAATATATTTCTGTTGACACATGAAACACTTATGGTTATATGCAAGCATATTATGACAACTTCTATATAACATGAAACATATGGATAAGAAATTCTCAAGTCAACTAAATTTCCAAATAGTTTGTTCACAGTATCTCATTTCTCAGAAGCATCTAAAAGTCAAGCATCAGAGTCTATTTTTATGTGGATGTTTTATATAGACTCAGCCAAGCTTTATTTTTCAGAAAGAGTTCAAATAACTAAAAGCCAGCTGAAGTTCCTACAGCCTAATGCAATATTTCTTACTTTTTGTGATACACAGAAATATCTTTTATAGCTCTAACAAACTGGGCCATGGCCGGAACCTTAGGCTTCTCTTTCCTTATAGTGGCAAATTAATACTTACGTTACATAGCTGGAGACTTAGAACTAATGTGGTTCAGTCATACTCTGTGGGTTCCCAGAAACTGCCAGAATTTATATGGAAGACCAATATTAATCTACATTTTAGAAATGCTGCAGCAAGTTCTCACCCCCTTCTGAATTTCTCTTTCTCTTCAAGTGTATTTTAAGCAGTGACTAGTAATCAAAAATTCCAGTTTGGCAAATATTTATTGAACTCAGGGCAAAGCACACTGCTTGAGATTGGGGATATATAGATGAATAGAGCTCTTAATTTAGCAGATGACTCAGCGGAGTATGTAACTAAATTGCAAGTCAGTGCAGTAAGAGACTTAAGCAAATTCCTAAGGCAAGCTGAGAAGAAGGCATTCATTCTGACTTGGGGCATTAGGAAAAGTTTCATGGAGGTAACAGGGGCATTCGTGCTGCTCCCTGAAATAGGGAAAACAAATATACTGGGTGACCAGGGATAGTCCCAGTTTATTTACACTGTTATCCAGGTATAATTTATTTTTTTTTAAGACAGGGTCTTGCTCTGTCACCCAGGCTGGAGTACAGAGGCATGATCATGGCTCATTGCATCCTCAACCTCCTGGGCTCAAGGGATCCTCCTTCCTCAGCCGTCTGAGTAGCTGGGATTATAGGCATGTGCCACCACACCTGACTAATGTTGTTGTTGTTGTTTTGTAGAGATGGGTCTTGCTGTGTTGCTTAGTTTGGTCTTGAACTCTTGGCCTCAAGCAGTCCTCATACCTTGGCCTCCCAAAGTGTTGGGATTACAGACGTGAGCTACAGTGCCCAGCCAGGTGTATAGTTTAGTACTGCCCTTTTCTCAAAGGTTTTCTTTGGCCAATAAAATATATGATCACTCTGCATTAAAAAAGTGTACATGGCATACTGACAGGGAGAAGAAGAAGGGGAGGGAATTTGAGTTGGACCAATGAGCAAACACAAAAGGCATGGAAGAATCAAACCTCTTGGTATTTCTGGAGAAAAAAACTGCATGAGTCTTTCCCTTGTGTGCACAAAAGAGGGTATTTGTTTTCTTTTCTATGACTGATTGAATGGAAATTGGAGTATGTTCTACAAGAACTGGCATAGACCGTCTATTTGCATATTTAACTGATTTTTCTTTCTAGGATTGTGACTACTGTGCAGCACAGGCCTCTTCCTATATTTATCCCTTATTTTCCATGTTCATTTGATCAGTTTTATTTCTGGCAATTTTCACATCACAGGGAAAGAGAAGGAAATTAAAAACTAATTTGTACATTTCATTATCTGCCTTCTAGACAGTTAACACTGAATTAGAACACACAAGATGCTTGAACTTTTCCCTTGTACTTTATAAGAATCAAAATGTTTAAAGAGAAAACAACCCAAGTTAGAAAGATTTGGTTGCTGTCTTTACAGCTCTTTGAGGGAAAAGATGGAATATGCTGAAATAAGAAATTATTAACTAACTTGCATTGTTTTAGGACAAGGGATTTACAGTATTAGTTTTTATGTGATAAAGTCTATTTCTGATTTCGCTTAGGTATTTTTTTAGCAGAAATATTCTAAATTTAGAAGAATGAATACATATGAAAAAATAATATAGCCAGGCAGTACAACTAGGCAAGTCCAGCAATAATTGAAAATTCTGTAAGTGGCAATGTGTGAGAAGATGAGAACAGTTTGTTGCTATGCTTCATCCAAAGAAAGAGGGATACAGGGATAAGTGGGGGACCAGATTCCTCCCCTTCCTTCTTGTCAGACATGGTTGTCTTTCTAGAGCTCTTCTGAGCTGGTAGAAACTTCAACACTGCAACACGCACCAAGTGCTTTCTTTCTCAGCCCAGTTGAGTACCAATGTTTTCCCACAGCATGAACCTGGGATCCTGTTCTTCAACTTTTCTCATGAACAGATGATTCGAGGTCTACCAGTTTTCAGAGAAGGCTTTCAAAGCTTTTGAAATTAGCCAAAATGTCAATAAACTTGGAAAAATAATTAATATTTGATAGTTATCTAAGTTAGCTGATTTTTTTCATTTCACATAACAAAACAGTAAACCCAACTGGAGATGTGATTTTGATGAAATAAACACGGGTCTTTCCATCTCCTGTTTAGGGACTCGTCTTCCCTCATGATGTCTCTCACGCTAATCTTTTTAGCTGCCTCTAGTTTCTTCCCATGTCAGGGCTGCTTCCAAAATGATCTAATTTTTGACTTCATTATGCCACTTTTAAAAGCTTCCTGATAGCTTTCGGTGCTCCAGGATGAAGCTGCAGTTAACCTGAAGTGTGGCATAGATGTCTGTGCTCAGTTACTTCTCTAGCCTTACAGTTTCCCTTTGATACCTCTTTATTGCCTTTGCAGAATTTAAACCTGGTGAATCTGAACTCTCTAGAGAGACTTCCCTGACTTCTAACCTTAGTTGTGCTCATCTGCCTATTATTATGCCAGTGACTGGATACTCTCATGGGCCTGAATACTCTTGAAGGGGTTATCTTTATATAATCACTGCTTAGCAGATTTACTGGTACTGCATATGGAGTAAACAGACAAAAAGGCAGCTGTTAGTTCCCATTTGGGCAGAGCCTTCTGAAATCGAAACTACTAATAGATTTGACTGGCTCGGAATGATTACCTGTGTGTTTGAGGCCACATTTGGCTGATCACCTATTCCTACAGATAGGCATGTGCACGAGGATACCAGAGCTGAACAAATATATGGAATTTCTTTTTAAGTTGGTTAGATTAAATAAACTCAATTTTCAATAGATAAACACACAAATCCCCACAAATCACTTTCATATAAATGTTTTATTGCAGAGAAGTTATAATTATTTACATGCTGCAACACGTCACAACATAAATTTACCAAATATTTCATGGTGGGATGCTGTAGGTTTCAGATAATAGTTTTAGGAGAACCACAGATTAAGTGAAGAGACTTAACAGCTTTATTGACTCTATGACTCTCGGTTGCTAAATGCTAGAAGTCAAAAGGCAGTGTTTTCTCAGTCCTACCTGTCATAACTTGCATGCAGAAACCTAGAAAGCAAATACAAGAGAACTGTCGAGTTTCGAATCCATATTGCCACCAAAGTTTACAATGGGTTGAGTTATACTTCATGTCATAAAGCAGTTAATTCTTGCATAAAATATACAGTTCTATTAAGATTGGTATAAATCTACTTATTTATAAACCCTGGCTTAAAAACAAGGACAGGATGCAGCCTGCACATGCATTGAGAAGGACAACCTAGCAAATGTTTGCGACCTTAAAAGTGTTTATTCCCTTTCTATGGTTATCAATCTGGAAAAATAACCTCCTGACTTGTAAATTTCTACTTCTCTTGTTGATAATGGCAATAAAACTCTCAGAAAGACTCTAAGCACTCTCACTGATTTATGCTGGTGGAGAATAATCTATGAACTATAGAATGTCGCTAAGGTATAATTTGGCAAGTCTTTTTAAGTCACATCTCTAGCAGGATCAATCCTGAAGTGCAATAGAAAGTCACTGATGCTTGACCGCCTATTTCTCAAAAAACGAATCAAGTGCGAACAGATTTTAGACATAAATGAAATGAGTGTGTGGGTCTAGGAACTTCCAACCCAATTCACAAAGATTCCTTAAAGGAGGTCACCAAGCATATAGGCCTTCATTGAAAAGGAAGGGATAAAAGAAATGGTGGAAAGACACAAAAATAGAATTTCTATATCTTCTCAAACCGATCCCACCAACCTGAGTAATGCGTAAAGCCAGCAAATGGGTGAGGAAGATTTGTGCACAGCTTTGCAGAACAGTGGAGTGCTTGTTATTTACTCCTGAATAAAAAAATCACTGAGAAAAATTTGATGATGGATATGGAGAATTCTGTTTTTACCTTCCACTGAAAATAATATTCTCTAAGAACAGCCCTATATACACCCTCTGATTCTGTTTCCCCATCTTTTATCACCCTAGCATGTCTTCCTTGCTGCTTGTGACATAAAAAAGAGTTACTTGTGCTGGGAGTGTCCTGGCCAAATAAGCAGTTGACACTCAGAGTTCACAGGGAGAAAAAGGGAAGTCTCAGTTCTATTTCTAAGTGATTTTTGTTTAAATGAAATGAAACTCAGCTTTGGAATCTCATTTCATGATCATATCAGTAGAGCTAAGTTGGCAGCTTAGGATTCCCATGCCAAGAGATCAGCGTGGAATGCAATAAGTTTTACAAAATATGCTTTGGGGGCTGTTTTGCCTTGCAAATAGACCTTACATGTTGTATTTGGAGCACGTGGCTCATAATGGCAATTTGCAGGACTTAGACATTTTCCAGTGATTGGGAGACTGAAGATTCCATACCACCTTATAGGCTTTGAATAAATAAGGTTATAAAACCTCTTTGGGATTTGAGCCCAGAAAATTCTACCTCTAGCTGAAGCAATGAATAAGAGTTTATGAGAATAAATAGTTTAAGACATTTTAAAATACTGTATTTTTAGTATGCATAATAAAAATATATCCATACAATGATCTTGATGCTACCATAATCTTTCTCTTTAAAAAAATAATCCCTTGAAAGTGCTATCAGAAGCTACCTTTCCTCCTCCTCCTTCTTTTTTTTTTTTTTGAAAGGCAAACTTCCTGGGTCTGTAGTACTGCTATAATTCTCATGTCATCTCATGTCATTCTCATTCTTAGCTTCTTCCTTAGGAAATGCTGCTAAGTATGAAATACTGAAAGAGTTAAAAGGGACAATTAATTGGAATGAAGGTATTATCTATGTCTGACTTTGAATAAACAATGGATAAGTTGTCCTTAACTTATTGACACATATGACTGAGTAGGACCACTTAATCTCCAATATTAATAAAGCTCTGAGTCCTAACAAGAAGGGCAAAACAATTAACTCAACTTGTATAAAAAACCCTGATTAAGACAGTATAACAAACTACGATGTGAAATAATAGAGTCAAATCCAAAGTCACAATTTATAAACCACAGCCAAAGCTAAAAGTTTTTATCATAACAGTTATGGCTTCCCAAGCCAGAGAAAGCTTACTGTACTTCAAGAATCAACTAAAGTTGATAGATAGCAGGTATTCTGTAAGATGCAATAACAAGTGAGTAGCTGCAGATTGCATAAATGTGTTGTGTCACATAATACTAAAGTTATTTGCAAAAATTATACAATCTGGAATGCTTGAATATGAGACACAACAATGTACTGAAACATACATTTATAAGAAAATGAGAGCAATCATTAATATAAAAGGTATTTTTGGGATGCATTAAGTTAGCAGTACTATCAAGGTTAAATAGGTAAATAAGTTCTTCTTGGTCAGCTACTTAGAATTTCAGTTATATACGTCTCTACCTTTTCCTTCTTTGCAAATCTGGTACATCTTCTGTGCCTCCTGCTTTGCCTGGCTTAGGATCTTCAAAGTACCATGGCTACATACTGATGAGGGCAGACATTGTGGGCTGTTTTCCTTAAACATGCTGAAGTGGAAAGATTTTCCCGGTGTTACCAGGGGAAGGACTTTCTTGGCCAAAGTCTGACTTCTCCATTATAACGTTGTTCTTGCCCCCAAGTCCTCTTCTGCCCATGCCTTTGACTTCACCGCACCATCTGTCATGTTTTCCTTGATTGACAAATACTCCTTGGGAATTTTAAATTCTTACATCTTCTCATATCCAACCCGGGGTTCCTTCCTTTTCCTCTTCTTCCTGGGGATGCTACACTTTAAAAGTATCCCAGACCTCTTCTTTCCGAGGCCCTGCTATCTTATTTGCACTTAGAGCAGAAGGGGCAGGTAAACCTACACTTCTTCCAGCATTTGGTTGAGCTGGGGTCTCAAACTCCCAAGGACACACCTCTGCTCGTGATATTAAAGGTTGCTGGAAGTTATGACTTGAATTATAGGAGCCACGGACATTTTCCTCAGAAGAAGATGTCTTTTTTTCCTGGTGTCGTATTTGGTTTACATTTTCATTTTCTGTTTTTGATGCTACAGCTTTGGGGGGCAGTGCTTCACTGTGCCCAGCACACACACTGGCTGCATGACGCTGACCTCCATTCTCCTCTTTTGACCTCTCTGGGAGAACTGGAGTCTTGGAAATCAAATGCTTCTCTTCTTCCAAAATGGACTGGCCTTGGCTTTCCCAAAGGGATATTTGAGCCTTATCTATGTGCTTCTGGTTGGATTGCTGACAAACTTCAGCTGCCTTAGGCTTATGGTGAGATTTCTCCTTTAAGGAAAAAGTTGGGTTTTTCTCCATTTCAGAAGCCACAATAGATACGTGTTTTTGAACTTTTGATTCTGAAGGCACAGGACCAGGGGTCAGGTCATAAATCTCCCAAGGGCACACCTCCCCAATGTCAAAGTTGTCCTTCATCTGGGTGGTGCCTGGGTTCAGGTCAGAATTGGCAGTGGTGGGGTTGACCCTTTGTTGTTTCATAATCCCAGATTTCTGAGGCTTTCTCGGCTCCTCCACATGATTTGAGTTTTGGGGGGCAGAATCTTTAGTCTCTGTGTTATCAGAATTTGAGTGGTTTCTGTTGGTGTCTTTATCTTTTGGCAGAGGTTTCTGGGCTTTAGCGCGTTCTTCCACACCTGCTGTTTGGGTTTTCCCAGCTAATCCAAGAGTCTTCTCCTTGGCGCTTGCTATGACACTGAGAGACTTCTGTAGCATCGATGTGCGTGGGTGCCCAGGCTTCTTCTCTGAGCTGAGGTTGTGAGCGCTTGCTGACTTGCACACCAACGGCACCGACTCTGTGGACTCAGCCTCACTGTCTTCCTTTAGTTTTTGTGTTAGTTTTTTACCTGACAGGGATTCCAGCGTGGAATTTTCTGTTGCCTCCTCTTCTTGGCTTTCTGTGGGTAGGCTATTGGACTCTTCCGTTTGGTCTCTCACGTGATCATAAGTGCTGTGGGATTTCTTGAGTGAGAAGACTCGGTTTTTCAGGGTCTCCTCCTTGGATTTCCCTGTGTTCCCTGAAGACTCTGGGGGGTTCTTCTTGATGAGGGCAGTGCCTTTGGCTGTGCCATGGTCGGTGCCCTCCTTGTCCTCTTTAGAGCACTGCCTGCTGACCGTCTCTGGGATCTCCGTAATGCGTCTCATGATGGAACGACCGAGGCCCTTCTTCGAGCACCGCTTTTTCTGGAGGTGGGGGTTGTTTGTGATCATCTTCTTTCTTTTATATATTTCCAGTTGGGCATAGAGTTTTTTCAGTTCATCCTGCCAGAACAAAAGCAAATTCAAAGAAGAATTGAGTTTTTCAGTCACAGAAGATCACTACATGGTACCGGAATTCAGTAAACTTGGGCTTGTGAGGGCACCTGCCCTACAGCTTTACCTGACATCTGTACTTGTCAAGTTTCTCCTCATTTGTACTTTCTGATTCTTTTGTTTCTCACAAAGTGTGGACCTTAAGACATAAACCCATGTATTCTAACCTTGTATCAAGGAGCAAACACTTTGCACATTCAAAGTGCTTGTATGGACCAGACTAAGCCCGGACCAGAACAAAACACAGCATACTGTTTACAGGTGAACCATATCCCTGAGTAGGATTGGAAGCATCATGGTAGCCACTGATAAAGTTACATGTGATATTAGATGAGGCTTAGAGGGCAACAGTCCATTGAAGCATCTTCTTTTTTTAGATGCTGATATGTTGTCATAGATTATTTTAAATAATCCAGGCTCTCCTCTCTGCTCCAGGGATCGATCCTACCTTTCCATAAGCAAGATGTCATAAACATGTATTATGGAACACATGTAATCAGTTCATCACTATGAATACTATTAAGTCAGTCAAGACTACTAAGGCTGGCCAGGCTACTATAAAAGTTGAAATGGCCTGTGAATTCTAATTTATACTATGATTCATCTATTTTAGAACTGGATTAACTCTGCGTTTGACATCTTCAGTTCATACACAAACACATTTCCTCTTTCTGAGACACACCTGCGCACACACACCCCAACCCACACATGCCTGCTGGTGTAAATGAGACCAATCTGAAATAGGAAGAAAGATGACTGGCATTACCCGAATGTCCTCTGGATCCAAGCTGTGCTCACTCCAAGCTGAATTGATACTGCTGTTTAGATAGGATCCAGATCGGCCCATGTCTAGCTCATCCTCATATGCTTCTGTAGCGATATCATCTCGTGGGTTATTGCTTGAATGTGAAAACTGAAACAGAAACTCAGTATGAGCTGTAGATGTTAGCTCACTGTAAGAGATTGCATAGTTATATACATAGAGAGGCAGGGTCTCACTCTGTTGCTCAGCCAAGAGAGCGGTGGCTATTCACAGGCCTGGTCATAGCACACAGCAGCCTGAAACTCCTGGGCTGAAGCCATCCTCCTGCTTCAACCTTCCTGATAAAATGAATCTTTCTTTTACTCTTCTACATATGTTTGTGAGACTGACAGATGCCATGAACTAAAGGCCATACATTGTGAATATAATAGACTTCATGCCCTCCAAAATACCATACACTACTGGTTACACCTCCTGGAGGTCATTTGTAAGAATGAAGTTTTTTTTCTTGCCCAAAGTCTTGGAGACAATTATGGGTTTGAGAATTAAAGTCATTTGTCATATGTTGTCCATTTCCTGCTTTATTATTTTTCCATAGCACTTATCTCTATCTAAAATACTACTTTAAATACTTATTTATCTGTTTTCCCTTCCCCTTCTCTGGAATATAAGTTCCATGAGAATAGAGGTTTTTATCTGTTCATTTCTCTTATTTTAAGGATATATAACAATGCCTAGAAATGCCCCTCTATAATATTTTTAAATTCTCTTTTTATTGAGATATAATTCACACATACTATAAAATGTATAACTTTAAAGTATACATGTCAGTTCTTGTTGGTATACTTGTGAAGTTGTACAACCATCACCACTATTTAATTCCAGAATAGCTTTGGAATATTCATCTCAAAAAGAAATCTTGAATCCATTAAAAGCAATCACGTCTGTTCATCATTCCCCCAGCCTGTGACAAACACTAATCTACTTTCTATCTCTGTAGATTTGTCCATTCTGAACATTTCACATAAATAGAATTATGCAATGTGTGGCGTTTTGTGTCTGGCTTTTGCACTTCTTATTGTTGTAACATGTGCCAGAACTTCATTCCTCTTTATTGACAAATAAGATTTCTATTGTATGGATATGCCACATGTTTATACATTTATCAGTTGAAAAACATTTGGATTGTTTCTGCTTTTGGATATTATGAATAACACTGTTACGAACATTCATGCACAAGTGTTTTGTATGAACATATGTTTTCAATTCTCTTTGGAACTCAGTAACAAATAAATAAATCTCAGTATACCTCCATCTAGCTAATGAAAGTGTAATTGTATTTTGCAAAGTATTAAAATAGTTAAGATAATTTATAGAAAATTGTGTCTAGTTGATGTAACTCAAGTAGAGAATAAAATAGGTATCTTGTTCTGTTTACAACTGTTTGGCCTTTTCAGTCAGGCTGAATCTCAATGTTTTGGTTAACTGTGAGAATTGAGGAAAAGCCTGGAGTGAAAGACAAGGAATCACAATTCTGGTTTCAGCTGTGCTAACGTTATATCGTGGGGCACTGATAAGATACACAGTGTTCTAACATTGTGTTTCTGTATGCATAAAACAGGAAAATTATGACAATGCTATAATTTGTATAACACATTACCCTCATAGAAAAACTCCAATATTATTTTATTTTATTCCAGGTAGCCTTACTATTGTATCATTAAAAAAAAAAATCACAAGTCCTGGCTGGTGTCATAACAAACAGCCAGTTTCTGGTAGAGCATGAGTCTAGAATCCCTGCATTCTGAGTCCTGGCTCATTCCTCCTCATTTCATAGTGCTGCCTGGATGTATCTTTGTCAAATCTATCATTATGGGGATTACTCTATATATCATAGTTTATTTCTATTTACATAAAAATTATTTGAATGTTTCAAACACATGATTTCTCTGAATATGAATCCAAAAAAGAGGATTCTTAGAATAGGAGAGTTTCTTTAAAAAGTGATCTTGATGTTACAGCTACAATGATCGTATAATAAGTAAAGCTTAAGAAGTTTCCAAAATCCAAAAAGAAAGCAGACACCCAGTTTCCTGACGAGGAAGTTTTAAAACTCTTTTAAATATTAAGCAAATTTCCATATGTCCCTTTGCCTATAGGATAAACAACTCCATGTTCATTTAAAATAAGTCTTGCAAAAAAGTAGTATTAGAAGAATACCTTTGGAATCAAAAGCAACCCAATGGTGACTGTCACAGTCAAATGAGTATGTGCAAAATAGAGCATCAACATCCAATCAGATTGAAGTCTTGAGGCCAGAACAAATCTGAAATGAGAATTCATTAACAATCCAAGATTAAGATTCTACTTAAAAATAGCAGAATTACTTGGAAACTATTTTCCTTATTGTATTAAAGAAAAATGAAATTGCATTGCTATTTCTATGGCATATATTTTCATCTTAGAATAATAAAGTCTAAGTTTAATTTGATGCATAAGATATGAACCTTTTATTATTTATTATTTTAGATTAACAATAACAAGAAGGCAGCATAATAATTCCCAAGATGATTATTTTGTATGTAGAGTGGTCTCTAAAAATCAAAGTGGTAAACATATGTAAATTCAAAAGAGGAGTGAGCTACAAATGTATAATCCAAATTTGTAGGCAAATTATGAGTTCCAATATTCTTAGATTTTTAAAACATTAGTTAGAATTAAGAATAAAAGGTGGGCAATTATCTATCTTTGTGAGTGATACAAGGATGAAATGATAAAACAATTTAATGGATAAAACAATCTGATGAAACATACTAATGGTTTATAAAATGTACCCTTTAAAATAAATTGTTCTAAATTATCAAGTAGTCTGAAATAATTTAAAATGCAGCATTTAAAAATCTTATTAAGAAATTTATAAAGTTGTATTCCAGGATGCCTCTGCAGGAAAAATGGTGAGGAGAAATTCAGTACTAAGGTCTACTCTAGTAATTGGGGAATGCTTTCATAAATTAATAGGTACATGTACAAACCGGAGTTCACATTTTAAGGATTTATCCTTATGCAGAAACCAGGGGTTGCTTTTATAAAGGTCTTATCTATTGTTTATCCATGAAAGCAAAATATGATATTTTACCACTTGAAATCAGAGGATTACAATTTTGTTTTAATGATATACCTCATCAAGTTTGCAAAGTTAATATCCTAAGAAAATGCTCATATTATAATCACAAAACAAACATATATTAATAGCTAAAGTAGGAAGAAACTAATTTTTCTATCTTCATTCTACCATATTCATGACAAATTTTCTAAGTAAATTGTCATTTTTATGTTTAAAATAATGTCATCAAGAGGATTTCTTTCTCATTTTCACTTCATGCTGCTCCCCTAAGGATATCAAGCTAAAATGAAAGCTCAGGAGTTACCCAAAATGGAGAATTATTTTCCCTTGTGTCTAGAGATGCAAACCAAATAGGCTTGTAACATGCATAAAGTGCAGAGCACTCATCGCAATAGCTCACGTTTCATTAAAAAGGGCTTTCTGATTAACCGTCTTCTCTAACTTCTTTGTGAGAAAAGTGACCTTATACATACCTTGAATATGACTGCAAAACTGAACCAGTTTTGACAAAAGTTTGTCAAAACAGATTTTTGACATAGTCTGTTTTCCTGGGTCAGTTTTTTTTTTTTTTTTTTTTAGCAGTGAAATAGGATCATTAACTCAGTAACATTCTCTGAGGCATATAAGGGATATAACACTCTGGAAAAATGATATAATCCCAGTCTGTTGGGGGTCAGTCCAGTATTGGAGTAGAAAGTTATAGGAAAGGAGATGAATTCATAAAAGGATCCTCATGTACTAAGAATTCCATCTTAAGTGCAAATCAAATAAACTTTAAACTAGCATGACAATATCTAGAATAAAAAAATGCTTGCATATAATTTAAATGAAAATAGTGAATCTTCAAAATAAAACTACCAACTGTGAAATATACAGACAACACTCTGAAATTAGTCAGTTTTAAATAACTGCCAGGTTTTTAAGGTTGCAATTCTGAGTAGAAATATCTTGAGAAAAACTGGGTTTTGCAGTAATTTTAAAGCTTTATTTTTTTTCAAGGGTATTTCATCTTTTAAAAAATAGGTCTGAAAGCCAGCAGCATAAAATATTTGAAAACTGAGGTTAAAAAGAAACACATTTTTAAAAGTCTTGTACTTTCCCGAAGGTTTGCTTTATGCTTAGCACTAAAAATAAGGGATTAAAACAGGCAGGGAAGAACACCTCTGCATTATTTATCCTTTTAGACTTAATTCTTCACTATTATTTTTGTGCAATCTGACAATTTGGTATATGAATGAAGGTAAATCTGTATATAATGTATAGTCATAGTTTTTAATTTATATATGTATATCTATATATATATACACACACCATTTTATATTTTAAGCATATAAGAAAGGACACATGCTATATTGATAGAGAATATATTTTTCAATGTTGGGAGCCTTATTTTATATTCAAGGATAAAATTAACAAGATGGATATAGCTGATTTAAATTATGCTATTGCTTATTCTTGGACTTTATATATATTTGAACCATCGCATGTATAAATTCAGTCCATGTGTAAACAAGACATTGTACATACTTGATTTATTATTGCCTATAACTTGCTCCCTATCAATTCCCCCAAATCAGTGTTCTGCAGATTTACTGTGTTAAACTATAAATCCATCCCTTCATCCTTTATAGCCATATAAATTAAATTTCTGAGAGAGCTAATATATGCTATGATTCTTTAAAGTCAATATACCACAGTCTGATCCAATCTAATCTAGGCCAAAAGATACAGTAGGTCAAATTTGGAACTTAAAACATAGGGCCTCTTCAGGTTTATTTAAGCTTGCTAAAAAAATCAAAGCTCATCAAGCTTGTTAGTCTTTCTGTGTCACACTGCTACTAATGGAAGTTCTCCCTTTCCAAAAGTAACAGGGGTCCACATAGTTGTGTGGAAGAAAATTGATCTTGTGAGTACATCATATGTACTCAACACCAAATTTACTAGGTTCAACGTGGAGCAATCAATCGGTGTGTGTGTCTACAAGAACAAAGTTCATGTTTATATGATTCTTCTGGCGGAGCCAATGGGTTGCTTGGGGCTGTGTAGGAAAAATGTAAAGCCAAGTAGTCAAGTTGCTTTCAATCAGTAATATATATCTTCTGTCACCTTAAATCAGTAATAAAAAGTGCGGATGCTGTTATCAAATGTCAAGTGAAGTTTAGGGGGTTTCCATGGTCAATTAAGTGTGCAAAATGCTGGTTAAATAAAACTAAGTAGGTTTTCTTGAAGCACGACTTCTCAACATGCTAACTTGCATTGTGACACTCTGAAAAGGAGACTATAAAGTACAATTTGTCATAAATTTACAAACAGACATAAACATCTAAAAATGATATACTATGATGTTAACGGTACTTATCTTTAGGTGGCTTGATTAGGGAGTTTACTTTATTCTTTATCATTTTAGGATTTTTCCGTAACAACCATCTATTGCCTTATTATTAAACTTTTTGAAAATTCATTTCAGAATAATTTACCATGCCTACTCCTGAAAGAACCTGGGCCAGCTTAGAATTTGAAATCTATTGAGAAAAGAAATTTAATGATGAAAACTGAACAGAGTAAATTTTAAGATATAGAAGGATATTTAGGTACTTTTAAAATCTGTAAACAGATTTAAGTACTTAAGACAATTGATTTGTTTCTAAAAAAAAAAATCTAGCAGCTTATTATAGGGCTAAAGCGGACAATCTTCTGCACTACATAATCACATTTTGACGATAGAAGACATTTAGACTCATTTCTAAGAAGCCTTCTTACTGGTTTATAATTCTTTAGCTGATTTTTTAACTTAAGTTGATATGTTAACATTTAACCTGTAACTGATTGTATAAAAGCATGTTTGTTATATCTTGAAATATGCCTGCTTGATATTCTGGAAACAAACAAGAAAGTAGCTTTTCTTGGAAGACAGTTTGGGGAAAATGTCAAGGCTATTGGAGCTGGGGTATCAGGAGGACGTGTTCTCTGGTGCTCAAGAAATTGTTGACTGAGGGCATCCCCTCTTAGGTCCTGAAACTCCAGTCTGACTAGCTGAAAAAGCATTTATTCCTTTGCTTACTTATAATCTTATATTTCCGTTCTTCTATTTTCTTCCTCTTCTAACATCTTTTCTCCTCTCTCTTGAGAGAGGGCAAGACAAAGTTAAGAGGCCAATTCTCTAGATTCCTGGCCCCTTGATGGGGTCTCCAGACTTGTCAGACCATAGATGCCTCCTTTTCTTATTTAAAAGTTTTAAAAGTGCAGGCTGTAACTGAGGTCCACTGCTGTCTGGAATCATCTCTTTCTAAAGATGCAAGATCACATCTTCTGACTGCTGACTAAAGTCAGAGAAGATAGGCATCCTACAAAACTCCCCGGGGCTACAGCCTCCTCTTCCCATCCCCTCTCCCATTCTCACTGATCTCCAGGAGAGTCTGAAGGCCAAGAAGGGAGCTGAAACCAAAGAAGGGGATCCCTTCTCTCCATTGAGGGCAGAGACAAATATTCAACATTTCTAATTTTCTTAAATGTGTCCTTTTCCCTATTTGTCAAGCAATTGAAACACATTTTTTGTTTTTTAAATGATAGGATTCTTTTAGTTCTGCCCTGAGATTTTCATTTTCAAATATGAATCGGTGACACCTTTTCAGAAGATAAGTCATATGTTTCATTTTGTTAACTTCATAATAAGCCACTGTCTTCCTCCTTTGTTCTTGTCTGCTAGAGAGAAACCTGGGATGATCACAAAATAGAGGACCAGGCTATACATTCTTATCCCAGAAGTTCATTACTAGAGTGTGTGATAGTGACACTGCCCATTGCACATGATAATCTAGTCATCAGGCTGAAGTAGTTTTTGTGTTTAGAATTCCACAGAATTCATACATATAAGTTGTCTATACAAATATTGAGATTTTGAAAATATAAACCAGCCCATTAAACATGAATGAAAACATAGACGAGTTACATATATCTGCTTTACAACATATGCACGTATTGCTTTATACCTTCAGAATGAAAAGTGTTACATGTTATAAACAATGTTCCATTACATTTCCATAAGTGGTTTAAGATAATACAATAACATTGAGTTAACCTTCGAAATAGATGAAAGTAATAAGCAACACAGCTGAAGGAACTAAGAACAACAGTTTTAAACACAAGCTATTCATTTTCCATCTCTGTAAAAGAAATTAACTTATAAAATGCCATCTTTCCTAAGTCTGTTATGCATCTTATCTAATTTTGCTATTTAAAATGCAACACATCAGAAAAATAAAATAGTTATCTACTAGCTCTACAGATCACTTGCCTAATTGTATGGAATATAGCAGAGATGATGAGCTCATTGTGAACTGCAACAGCCATATAGCGGGGCTCGTGGAATGCCGATGGGACTGTCCGCACTGCATAGCAGAGATAAACACCCCACAGGAGGAATAAAAACTCAGCTGTGAAAATAACAAACCATTTTTCATTAGTTTTATAGGTGAAGAAAAAATTCTACTATTTTAGCATGCATTTTGTGTCTATTATTAAACATAAGTTTTGTTAGAAATAGATGAATTAGAAAGTCTTATTTACATACAAATAAAAATGAGATATTTATTTTCAAAATTCATTCAGTTATGGAGTATTTTTCAAGGTACACTTTGTGGTTGTTATCGCTTTTAATAGCATTCAGAATGTTATACCTTTTTTTTGGGCAATACCTGGCTTTCTCCTAAACTCACTGTAAAATAATTTTCCATATCTCCAATTCAAGTTTAGGATGCTCATAGAACACTCAGTTCACAATAAAGTTACCAAGGCAGTGCAAAAAAAAAATGTTTAGAACATGTTTATATGCGGCTTCTAGAAATTTAAGTCCTAACTGAACTGAGCCCAGTACAATAAGATACCATTGCCAGCTATGTGAGAACATGGGTTGCTAAACATTCAGTAGCATATTTTATATATAAAACCTTGTTTTATCACACATGAAAGAAATCATGTCTTCTGTGGGTTGAGTGTGGAAATGTTCAGTAAAATTCACAGTCACCTTGTTTGATCACTGAAGCCAGAAGAGACGAGCACAGTGTAGCAGCTAAGAATGAGGACTTCAGCATCATGTTAGATGTAGTTCTGACTCTGGCTCTATACCTAAATAACTTTGCATAATCTTAGGCAATGTACTTAACCTCTCTGGTCAGTTTCTTCATTTGGAAAATGAGGATAATAAAAGTACATATTTCATGGGATTATGTGCTAATTAAATCAAATAATGCATATAAAGCATTTATAGTTTATGACACATAGTAATTGTTAATTTTATTATTAAACGTCTCATTTGACTTTTTTTCCCAAACAATTGCTATTTTAACTCATTTTGAGTGATAAGCCATACAACCCATTTTATCTGTCTTAGTGGCAAGAACTTTCTGGAAGACAATGTCTAATTAATAAGAGGAAAGCTCTAATTAGGAGAAAACATTTCATCAAATGCATTACCCAGATGGAACTTTCTTGTAAACAGAAATGTTGATGTCCACTCAAAACATGGATCATCCATCCAAAATCCAAGGTGTTTTCCTTGTCAAAGTCTCAGTATATTTCAATCAGCATTTAAACAGTAGGTAGGGCCTTAATTATTCCATGTCCCTTAAATAAACAAATGTCTCAGGAGCTACTCTAAAACCCTGATGTGGCCAGAAGACAAAGAAAAAAATAAATGTCACTCCAAACTCTCCATGAGATCCAGTGTGGTCTTATTCAGCATGGTGGACCTTGGCCATATGATGTGAATATTTGCAGCCAAGTTTTATTGGATTGAGAAAAGGGAATCAGGAAACAGATTTTCATCTATAATTTTCTTTTCCAACTCTTGTATTTCTGCCCATGAAACTACTGTTGCTTTCTTTACCCAGGCTTGAAATCTTGACCTTTCATTTCTACATTTCTTTTTTCGAGTTATTTCTCAGCTGTATTAATTCCTTTCAATGCCCACAATAACAATCTTTGCCTAAGCCCCTATCAGTTTACTCCTTATTTGTTGAAATTAGTTTTCAAGGCCTCATCTAAACCTAGCTTTGAAATGAGTCCAGTTGTCCCACAGAACTGATGTTTGTGGTTTCTTTGCATAAATATAGAAACTGATCCTCCCAGTCTTAAAATTTGAAAAGGTTACATTTGTCATATCCAAGTTCCTTTTGCAGGAAAACAATCTCTAGATAGTATCAGGGAGCCGAAACTTAGCAGATCACTGCATCTGGACAAGGAGACACCAGATACGTCATCCATCATGACTGCCTAACCAACCCCATGCTTACTGTTGACCAACTTCCCTTTCTTTACCCTCCCTAATTACTGTTTTTCACATATGGTTACATTTCTTCGCTGCTATATAAACCTCTAATTTTAGTCAGGAAGATGGACTTGAGACTGATCTCCCATCTTCTTGTCTATGGTACCTGATTAAAGCCTTCTTCCCTGGTAATACCTGTCTCGGTGACTGGCTGTCTGCACAGTGATCAGTAGGACCTAGACTGAAACCCTGGCATTTCAGTAAGCTTCACCTTGTGTTAACCCATTCTTCCTAACAGTAACAGGTTCATTTTTCTGAAACTTCATTTTGACCATATCAGGACTTGTCAACAACTGCACCACTGCATTTGGGTTAACCCAGTCATGTCTCCAGTAGAAGATTCATGCATACCAGGCTGGGCATGGTGGCTCACACCTGTAATCCCAGCACTTTGAGAGGCTGAGGTGGGTGGATCACCTGAGGTCAGTAGTTCAAGACTGGCCAAATTTGGTAAAACCCCGTCTCTACTAAAAATTCAAAAATTAGCCAGGCATGGTGGCATGTGCCTGTGATCCCAGCTACTTGGGAGGATGAGGCAGGAAAAGCCCTTGAAACCGGGAAGTCGAGGTTGCAGTGAGTTGAGGTCATGCCACAGCACTCCAGCCTGGGTGACAGAGTGAGAACCTGCCTTAAAAAAAAAAAAAAAAAAAAAAGATTCATGCATACCTACTTACAACCCTGGAAATAATTCCTGCCCCAGAGGAAGACTGTAGGTGTTTCTGCTAAAGCTGACATGGCCTTACTTTCAAGACTGTCTTGCTGCACAGACTTCATGTTTGCTGCCCACATTGCTTGACATCATTTATTTATTTTTCCTTGTGTTTTATAGACCCTGATATCTACTGTGGTCTCTGGACTTCAGGTCAGCCTTCTGTGAAGCGTCAATGTATCTCCATTCAGAAATATTTTTTTCTGTGAGGCGTCAATGTCACAAATACTTCATCCTGGCTTTCCTAGCCCTCTGTAATTTGACTTCATAATATATATCTAACAGGACACCTCAGTACTCCCCAGCATAAACTCTTTGAGGAGACCTAGAAGGTCTCTTTGTCTTCTGAACACTCCAAATCTTTTTTCATTTTTACTTTTTTGAGACAGGGTCTTGCTCTGTCACTCAGGCTGGAGTACAGTGGCATGATCTTGGCTCACTGCAACCTCTGCCTCCAGGGTTCAAGTTATTCTTGTGCCTCAGCCATCTGAGCAGCTGAGATTACAGGCATGAGCCACCATGCCCAGCTAATTTTTTTATTTTTAGTAAATATGGGATTTTGCCATGTTGGCCAGGCTTGTCTTGAACTTCTGACCTCTAGCAATCCACTCACCGTGGCCTCCCAAAGTGCTGGGATTATAGGCGTGAACCCCCGCTCCTGGCCCGTTCCAATTCTTGGTCTTGCCTCTGAGCTATTGGTCTTGCTCACACTATTGCTCCCATTTCTAGTGGGAGCCAGAACTTCAAGTGGAAAAATCTTAATCAATTTTTCAATGTCCATTTCAAGTCCTATCTCTATCATCACAAAGCCTCCTGAAATGATTCTAACCTACGATGAATTTTCTTTCCTCTAGTATCTTGATAGTCTTATCCATACAACACAATGCAGAGAATAATGCCACTCAATATAAAATTGGAAGAAAACTGTTCATGGGGTCTTGTTAGTCAACACCGATCCCAACTAGTTATGAACTAAAATAGGGCAAGAATTGAGTTTTTCAGTTTTTTTCTCCCTTTGTCCACATAGGTGGTAGCAACAGTACTGGGACAATGTAGGTAAGATTTAATAAATACCATGCAGATTATTAAATATATATAATATAAATTAATGCACTATTGAGTTTGTGGTGCTGTGCTTGTCACAAAACAATGGTGATGCAAAAGTATTATTAAGTACCCAAAGCAGAAAAATATGCTGTAGTTGAAGGATTCACATGTAGCTGCATTATGAAAACAGTATCTCCTGCTATTTACTGCATGGTTTTTACATAATGCTATACTGAAGATTCAAAAAAAGAAAAGTAGTTATCAGGTTAATTAGTGTGCTACAATGGAGAATTGTATTTAAAAATATAAAACAAAATAAGATTTCTCATAATAGCTCAGCTGAACATTAAAATCTTTTCATTAGCAATATCAAACATTATGCTGTAGCTGGAAAACAATTTATTATTCAAAGTACCAATTACACGAAATGTGATTTATAAAAGTTGTGCTTGGGAAAAAGAAATCAATTTCATATAATTAACTTCAGACTAGCACTGCAATTAGTAAAGAAAATATGCAGATGTTACCAAATTTACGGTGTTATTACGTGGGAGTTGAAATATGTGTTGTGTTTCTTTAGAAAATAATTTCTGGTGTTAAATGATTTTGATGGGAGAAATGAGTATAGTTACAAAGGGGATTGCATTTAAGTTTTGAGATCCAAATAGGGCTTTCAGAAACTGAAGTCTTTGCTTTTTAATCTGTATGGAATAACATTCCATTTAAAAGTTAACTACCATAGCCTTTGAAAAATTAATATACTATAATGAAAGTGATTTCAAGTTATTTTTTTCAAAGGGCTGGGCCAAGCAAGGAAATGAGAATTAGTATAAATTCTTTGACACCAAAGATGCCCCAGTTCCATGATCCTAGACAACCCACAAGGGCTGAGAGAAGAACAACCGAAAGGAAAAATGCCACTCATGCTGTGGTGCTCTGATTTACCATGCTGCAAAGGCATTTTGTATTAATGACATTTTATCCTGCTTGGCCCCATTAAAAATTACCTTCACACAGCATAAATAAGTACACAAATGATAAAACATTTAGGTTTAATTTCTGAAGTGTGTTTTTTAATGTCCTCTTCTATTTTTCTCATACCCTATCCACTTGGAAAAGTCATGGTCAACGTAAATAATTATTTACAATTCTACCCAGGCTAACTCATTTTGTTTTCTTTCTAATGACAGAGTGGGCAATCAGTAAGTGTTAAACAACTTCAGTAATTCTTGAGAATACCTTCAATTCCAGAATTTTAGGGTTCAGCTGGTATAAAGAAGTTTGAATATAAATATTTATATTCTGGGGGCTTGTCTGCCTTTTCTTTGGCTAAAATAAAGCCAATTGTGAGT